GCTGTGAATATGCATGTAACACGTCAAATGAGCATTGACCGGAATTTATAGCCTCGGCTGATGTAATCATTAGATGCACCTGTGGCCAGGCTATAAATAAATGCGTCACCAGGTGTCGTCGGATACTTCTTTTTGAAGAGCAGTCCTGGGGCATCCCAGTGTGGCAAAACAGCGCAGCATCCCTTTTTTCAGGGAACAAGGGTTACATACGTAACCCGAGACGATCCCTTTAAGCTTCACTATGATGCTGCGCTTTTGCTAAGCGCTTTTGGGAACGCAATACCCAAGCCACGCTGCACTGGGGCTGTCTGGACCCCTACGGTTGTGATGTGTGCTCACAAGAATGCGAGAGGTCTCAGACATGAGCTTGAGATGTCGACTCAAGGGCGTAAGAGCCCGGAGTAGAATAATCATCTAAACCATAAAATTTTATGAATGTGTGCGGAGAGGACCAACCTTCCACATCACAAACTTGTTCAGACATGAGCTTGAGATGTCGACTCAAGGGCGTAAGAGCCCGGAGTGGCAAGAACATCCAAACCAACCTGCCGCACCACAAACTTGCTGCAGAGGGAGACCTCTAGCCAAGGCTTTAGAGGAGGAGAGCCCTCTGGTAGAGTGGGCCCTAAAACCTACCCGCAAAGCTTGACCGCGCGCCTCGTAGACCCGGGCAGTAATGTCCCTCACCCAAAGTGACAAAGTCTTCCAGGAGGTGGCACCCAGTCACGGCTTCCAAGTGAAGAATTGATGCCCTGACTTTACGCCACTAGCAAATGCGGTGGACATAAGTCTGAAGGATACAGACTGGACAAAGTCTGAGAAGTCTTAGCTGCTCTGGCGTTACAAACGGCGGGGAGCAGAAGGCTTAGAGAATAAAAAGGCAACTTGGGCAGGTAGTCAGGGTGAGGGTGCAAAGAATGCTATTGGTCATACCTGGGGCAACTCAAAACAGGCCAACAAAAGAGACAGAGCCTGTAGGTACCCAAGTCTCCTTAGAGACATAATTGCCATAAGAAAAAAGATCTACCAAATGCTGACTCTAGAGGTTTTAAAGGGGGGTCTTACCCTATGAAGAGGTCCTAGCAAGGATGCCTCTTAGAGGGCACCCCGCCCACCAAGGCTTGGCAAACCGAAGTGGAGGCCACATAGAACCTGGCAGTGGCGAGGCAAGTGCCCGCTGACTGTTCTTTCTACAGAAAATCCAGAACTGAAGCAAACTGGCAGTTAGCTGGTTCTGTAATATGAACTTATTAAAAGGAAATGCATGCAGGCGCATTTGTACCATGTATGCGCCACCACGATCAGATACTGGGTGACTCGGGGAGAAGTAGAGGAGACATTGCGCTATCAACAGAGGCGAAGAGGTCCTCTTCTGCCCTGTAAATTCTACCCAGATCAGTTCCAAGTGGAGGGAGCCCTAGCACTTGAAATGGTCTCGATAACCTCAGGAGAAAGCCCTGTGAACCTCAGTTGGTACCTTACAGGGGCCATGCATGAAAGGTTTCACAATTCGGACCGGGGATGAATATGTCCCCTAAGCCTGAGAAAGAAGGTCCTCCCTGTTCGGAATCGCCCAAGGTGAACCATCGAGGAGAGATATTAACTCCGAGAACCATATCCTGTTCGGCCAGCGCAGCGCCATTAGTAGGAGGCAAGACCCTTGCTGGTGAATATTGGCCAAGACTCCCAGGAGAAACCGGGGAAAGAAATGCATACAGACGCATTCAGGGTCATGTATGTGTCTTAATGTCCAGACCCAAGGCTGGGTGACTCGGGGAGAAGTAGAGGAGACATTGCGCTGTTCATAAAGGCAAGGAGGTCCTCTTCTGCCCTATACGATCTAACCCAAACTTGTTCCAATTGGAAGAAGCCCGCATTTAAAATGGTCTCGATAAGCTCAGGAGAAAGCCCTATGTCCCTCAGTTGGTACCCTTAGGGGCCAAGCATGAAAGATTCCACAATTCGGGGCAGGGATGAAATACTGTTCCCTGTGCCTGAGATAGAAGATCCTTCCTGTTCGGAATCGCCCAAGGCGAGCCGTTGAGGAAAGAAATTTGCTCTGAGAACCAAACACTGTTCGGCCAGCGCGGTGCTATCAGTAAGAAGCAAGATCCTTGCTGGCGAACTCTGGCCAACTACTACCTTAGGGTGGGGCTTACCCTGGGCCATAAGGAGAATCCGACGCATCAGAAATACAGCTGACAAGAACGTGGATCTCCCTGATGATTTATGTGAGAGGCTACCGCTGTATTTCCCACCCACACCAAGACATGGCAGCCTCAGGAAGAAGTATTTCAGGGCCAGAAATTCAGCCATCAACTCGAGACAGTGACTGTGACAACCGAGCTGACGACCCTCCTATCCCCTTAAGCTGTATGACCACTTAAGGCCGCTACACAGCCTGTCAGGGATTCATCTGACGTTAGCAGCCTGCGACAACAAGACACACCTAGAGTGGGACCCAAGGCAAAAAAAAAACGGGGTCTGAACCACATAGAAAGGGAACGAAGCCCAAGGCGCGTAACCCTCATTAGCCTAGGGGTTTTGGCCCTTGGAAGTAATCCCCTGGCTTTTAGCCACAACAAAAACGGTCTCATGAGCAGAAGGTCCAGAGGGATCACAGAGGACGCGGTCGCCCTGAGACCTGGAAATCGTTGATACTGGTAACAGTGCAACACTGACCTAGCCTGACTTTGCTCAGGGTGATCTGATTGGACTCAATTCTAGCGGGAGAGAGTTGTGCCTGCATTGTGACTGAACACCATACGATGCCCCGATAGACAGTGTTCTGAGTGGGAGAGAGGACGATTTTCTTGGCGTTGAGCCTCAACCCCAGAGAAACCAGATGAACTAAGATGATATCCCTGTGCTGAACTGCCAGTTCCTAGAACTGCGCTAGGATCAGCCAGTCGTCTACATAATTCAGAATGCAGATGTCCCGGAGACGCAAAGGAGCCAGCGCTACATCAAGCATTTGTTAATGTGCAGGGTAAAAAGGGCTAGGCCGAATGGAAGAACCTGACACTGGAAGACTTTGCCCCTGAAAGCGAACCTCAGGAAGAACCTCAGGAACTTCCTGTGTTGTGGCAGAACTTCTAAATGCAGTAAAGAAGTGCGTCATAAGATCGATGGTGACCAGCCAAACGAGACGTAGGGCTTGAGACACGATCGTCTTGATAGGCAGCATCTAGGACTTGAACACCCAGACTGGGCAGTTCAAGCTTTAAGATCTAAGCCAGACGCCACCCCTCACCCTCCATGGGAACCAGGAAGTACTTAGTGTAATAACCTAACTCTCTCTCTGGAAGCGGAACACGTTCCATGGCCCCTTTAACCAGGAGATTTGCTTTTCACAGTAGACATAAAAAAGAAATCCGGTTTAATGTAGGGAGAACCACGCCGTTGAAACACGGAAGGCGGCTGTGAATTAAATTGTGACGCCCTTTCCTACTGTTTTTAATACCCACATATATATAGTATATATCTGGCAGAAGTTTCAATGCTGCCAGGATCTCTGAGATGGGTATTAGATTTTAACACTTCCTGTTGAGGGGTTGTCGAGTGTTTCACGTCCTGAATAAATGCAGAGAACAGCGATAACACCCAACTTTTGATGGGAGCCTCTGCCACCCGAATCACCAAGAGGTGGCAGGAATGGAGAGGCTTCGAGGGGGTACCGGGAGGGGTGAAGTGAAGCACGCGAAGTGAAGGGCGACGAGACTGTCCCCGGAGGAGCACGACTAGCCAAGCTTTTCTTTTGAGCCTCCCTTCTAACAGGACCGAGGCGGGTCTGGGGGGCCGAAGGAGTGCGGCAAGGGAGGCACTGCCCGAAGGCTTCCTCATTTCTTTTCGCCTCCTGGAACCTGGAGATAACGTGGTCATGGCGTCTCCGAATAGGCCAGTGGGCGAAACCGGGGCATCAAGGAGAAAAACTTTGTCCTTGTCCTTGATGTCTGAAAGGTTGAGCCAAAGGTGTCTGTCTGCGGTGACCAAGGCAGACATAGACCAGACAATAGCACGGGTTGTTTGCTTGGTCACGCGGAGAGAAAGATCTGTGGCTCTGCGAAGCTCAGAGAAGGCTTGTTCGTCGAGCGCAGCACCCACACACAGGTCGTCCAGGCGTTTTTTTGGCGTGGCCAGTCCAACTGGAGTCTGGCAACCGCACGAGTAACCACATCGAGCAATTCCTCCACTGATTTTTTATCGCCGATGGAAAGCTCAGAGGCGGGAAGAGAATCGCGGTCCCCCTCATGAACCGAAGAGGTGCCGGAACGCGCTTCGAGATCATGTGAAGGACCAGCTAGGTTTTGGGAGAGAGCGAGAGAAAGGGAC